TTATTTCTTTAAGTATTAAGATTTTTTTCATATTCGGACAATTAATAAATAAAGACTGATGGTGAAAATCTACCATAAATTAGTTTTTCAATTTTAAACTAATGATATGAAATTGATTAATACCTAGAGATCGATAAGCAACACGATCTAATGAATGTTAAATAATCACAAAATTTCACACAAGTTATAAAACGAAATATTACAAAAATTTGTAATAGCTAATACATGCAAGATTAATTTCTAAAGACACGTACAAATAGGCTATAAATAATTATTGATTATTTTAATGAATAATTTTTTAATAACGAAATATAAATTCATAGTATTTTAATTTTAGCTATGATAAATAACTTTATGTATAATAGTTACCTATAATCTTTCTTAATAATAGAAAAGATATTTATTATAAAAAGGTTTATTAAAACTTAAAATACATTATTAATTAAAAATATTAATACTTGACATTTTAGTTGAAAGCAACAAACGGATTGAAATTTACTTAAATTTCGTTTAAATTAATTATTATAATAATGGAATCGTAAGTAAATTCAGAATATATTCAATTATAGAATATGACTAAATATGACTCAGGCTAGAAACAAATAAAAAAGAAGAAAGAATATGCGAGCCAAATATCATTTATTAACAATTAAACATACTTGGTACAGGGGAACATAATTAAAACTATAAAATACTTACATCCATAGTTATAAAAATTTTATGGGAATTATATTTATTATAATAATTATCATATGTATTTTACGTATTTATAAAGTCGATTCATATAATAACAAAAGTATCTTGATAATAAGCTTGATAATGTTACGGATAAATACATAAATTAAAGCACCATGATCGAAGTGCACCAGATACTTTAATTTGTAAAATCATACGCCGAAGAAAAAAGACAAATATAACATCGTTTGAAAGCAGCAGAATCCAAACGCTTTCGATAAAAGATCGTAGTATTTTTTTTTTTAGACTGCATTTTATTTACTTTCATATGTAAGACAAGAGGTAGCAAAGAAAAAGAAGATAAATGTACGGCCGGCCGAGTTGCAAAAGCGATAAACATTACTTATTCACCTATCGACAGTGATTAGTTACTTTATGCGATTATTTTTGTGATTTATCCATTTCATTAGGAATGGTGTAAATTTTATGTGGCATCTTTATTATACCAATAACAGACGGGTTGTGTAAAAAATAAATAAGTAAATATATATATATATATATATATATATATATATATATATGCTCAATAGGAAGGGAATTAAAGAGAAAGATAAAGAATAACTCGAGTATGTTTCATTGAAAATTTATTCGCGAATGAGGGAACTTTAAAAGTTCTAACTTTACTGGTATCTAAAAAATTATCTTGTTAATTAGGCATTTTGTTTGCCTTGTTCATTATATTATATATAATTGAGATTGCTAATGTATTGCTAATATAATTCATGAAACATTTAATTGACCGTTAAAAACTTACTGACAATTTTTGATAAAATCTGTTACCAATAATATCAATGAATGGTTTTTAAATATTATGTAATGAGATAATTTTAGTTTGATTAATTATAATAATATGCAGATAATAATTTTATCGTTATTCATAAAGTAATATTTAAACATATTTTAATAATGTAGATACCAAAGTATTATTCACATTCTAATTATATAGTAAAAATCAATTTAAAATTAATATTCCATGTAAACGAGCATATCTTCATAAATAATTATGAATTGTTAATAAAAGTATTTATTTTTAAATGTCTCATACTGAAATATCAATAATATTTTTATTGACATTACAATGAGAATTGTTATTCTTCTTATTTTCGAATTTATACTTTTCTCAAGTGTCTACATTAATTTTTAATTAATTACATTAATTACATTAATTACATTAAATTAATTATTTATTCAATTATATTTAAGCATTGACGTTGATGATTTAATTACATAATCAAATTAATAATAAAAAAAAAAAAAAAAAAAAAACATTAAACAAAATTTTTGTTCGTTTATTATTTATTGTAAAGAAATTTATATTTAAACCACAACTTAATTCGTATTTACAAAATTATGAAATTAAATAAATATAAATCTACTGCATTCTATGTAGTTGTTACGAGAATTTATTTAAGTATTGTATTGAAAATATACGTTTTGCACACGTGTATTATGATCAATGCACATTTAAATAAATATATATTCGTATTCTGATAGAATTTTAATATGATGAGATCAATAAGTCGATTTGACAAAGTTTTTAGTCTCTAATAAAACTAATAATAATATAAAATATAATGATTTTGCCCATTGAATCAATAGAAATGATGAAAAATAACAACAATTAAATAAAATTATTCATTAATTTAATTATTAAAATGAAGATAAATAATCAATCTTGCATAATTATATCAAATAGCATTGTTTATCGTTACGTAAAACAGTTTTTCCATTTCTTTTTATACTTGTCTAATAAGTTAATTTTTCATCTATGAATGCGTATACTTTGATCATTAGACAAATATATTTTCAGTTTTATTTTTATAAAATTTTTATTTCATTCAGGAATTTTTTTTTTTTAATATGGGATACATAATCCAAAAAATTCTTTTGACTATTATGATAACAACTTTTATTAAATGCATGATTTACAGAAGATTTAAGTTTGATTATTAAAATATTTACCGTGATTTAGATTATAGGGCAAATGGAATAATTTTTCATATTGATTCATCAAATATATTTATACATATATAAAGTATATGTAAATAGGAAAATAGGATATATAAATGTATAAAATAAATTTTTCATTAACAATTTTGAGAAATCATATAAAAGTAATTTATACATCACTGTAATCATGCATTTTTTAATCTAATAAAAAGAAACAACAATTAATATAACATTTTTTTTTTTTTTTTTTTTTTACTACTTAACGAATCACGTATTAAATGTTCTATAAAACTTCTTAGATTTTTATCTATAAATATAAAATATGATAAATACAAAATAAAGATAAAATATGTTTTGTATTTTTTGTTAATGGTCTGAAAAGGTATTTTTCAGATTAATTAAGTTTTAGTATGAATTTTCGACAAATACATAAATTTTGTTTCAATTTTTAATTAAAATTAATAATAGCGAGATTTTATAGTTATACAATCATTAAAATAATTAACCATTTTATCCTATTCAATTAAATAAACAAATTTTTTCATTTTAAATTATTATAATTATTATTATTATTATTATTATTATATTAAATTATAAATGTTAAACTAATATAAGAATTTTAAAGAATATTTAGTTGTATTTTACTTTTTCCACTTTTAATCAGTTTAAACATATTTGCCTTTTTCAAATTATTTTATTTTCCAATAAAATACTATGAGGCATATTATTACACATTATTATAATAATAATTGTATGGTTTTATGGCCGTTTTTGAGTTAAAAAAAAAATAATATACTTTATTATTTATTTATATTATTTTATTTGTCATAAAGTTATAATAATAGTGTTTATGAGGATATTTTTTAAATTTATGTTCATATATTAGTGTATATTTGTTTAAACGTCGTAAGTTAGTAAAGTAAAGTACTTATATACATTTAAAATTATTTAAAATTAAAAATATCTACTTTTTGCTTATTTTCAAATCTACTTAAATGCTAATGTTTTGTAATTTACTGACTAACTAGTTTATTACTTGGTAATAAAAAAAAATTAATCTATGGAAACTCGATATTGATACACGGGATTTAAATTAAGTAAATCGTTCGGATTTTCTTTCATTTATTTTATTTGAATAATAATATTACTTGCATTATATAACAATTAATCAAGGAAGGCATTACATATTTATTATTTAAAAGAATTAAATTTTTAAATAAAAAAAAAAAGGTATATTAAATTATTATTATTATTATTATTATTGTTATTATTATTATTATTATTATTATTATTATTATTATTATTATTATTTTATAAATATGTTTGTATATTGAATAACTTTAAGGTTCCATGTTTTATTTTTTACTTATGGAATCAACGATATCATTTATTTCAGTAGTTCTTAATGTGACAAATTTTACTTTGAACTCGATCACAATTAATGAGAATGAACCGTTCCTACTTTGCAGCGATTTTAAGACATTAAGGCAACATCAGTTTTTTAAAGAACTTTACATCGCCGAACTTGACAGACACTGAAATTATAATATCAAGACATGTCGGATAATCGAATAAAATTTTAATCTGTTAGCTTCTAGATCGAGTTGATTGATAGAAAATCTCTTTTAATCTGACCAAGCTTTAATGGTATAAAATAATGTTGATTCGTCATCTAATTATAAATTAAAAAGAAATTATAATTAATCGAGACGAAAGTGTTTAGTATTTAAAGAAGAATGGAAAAATGTGTCTCTTAGATAAGCAGATAAAATATTTTGCTTAGTCGTGAAGTATTTCATTGCAAAGTCTAGTAGAGGTTATATTTGGTGCATGCCAATATTTAATAGTTTGAGTAATTGTGGTAAGTCTTATGTAATTCTTATGGTGATAATTATAAGAATGTATTCGTGATAAAATTTATTTGCACTGTTTCATTCTTTTATATCTTTCTAAATAAATTGTTAATAAAATATGTTTAAAAATAATTTTTAATATATTGTTGCCGATATCATTTTAGTTTTACTTAATATAAATATAATTCAAACATATTGATTGGCTATTTTTAGTTTAAGTGCATTTATTCTTTTAATGTATTTATTAATTGTATCGGTCTTAAAACATTTAATTGAAATTACAATAATCTTTCTTTATTTTGTACATTCTAAAATTATTTTTAGACAGAATACAAAATAAATTAATAGGATGAATAAATTAATACTTTATATATATTATTAAACGGAAACTATGATTATCGAATTATTATTTATGAATTTATTTTCAGATGTCAAACAATTGATGGTTAAAATAATTTTAAAATGAATTGGAAAAAATATGAAGATGGATTTATATGTCCAACTGTTTTTGCAACTACTGAGAATTTGGATCAAATAAGTAAACAAAATATTGATTTACCCGCATTATTCAAGTTAAATACAAACGATGGCCGAGAATTTCTGTGCGGTTGGGGAGCAGCTATAATTAATGTTACCTTTACCTATCCCATAAATAAAGTCATATTTCGTCAGGTAGATGCATTATTTACATTATTAATTTAAATTATTTACATAAATTTATTGTAGATCTTAGAAGGAGTACCAGCGACAACTGCAGCGCAGAAATTATCAGATGAAGGATTTAGACTTTTGTATAGAGGAATATTTCCACCATTGTGTCAAAAGACTTTGTCCTTGAGTTTAATGTTTAGCTTATACGAGGGTTGTAGGCAAAGGTTATGTATATTGACTGAAAATAAGACATTCGCTAGAATATTTGCAGCTAATTTTGCAGGCACATGCGAAGCGATATTAATGCCTTTAGAAAGAATTCAAACGTTACTTCAAGACTGGAGATATCACAAAAGATTCAAAAATACACCACATGCATTCAGCACTATTTTACGAGAATACGGTGTGACAGAATGTTATAGAGGCTTAGTGCCAATTATCTGTAGAAATGGCTTATCAAATTTAATGTTTTTTTCATTGAGGGAACAATCAAAAGAAATTATGGGGCACGATAATTCTTTATTAACTAATTTTGTCAGTGGTGCGTTAATAGGTGCGTTCACAAGTACAATGTTTTATCCAATAAACGTTATAAAAATTCATATGCAATCCAAAATTGGTGTAGAATTTGAGAGTGTTGTGAAATGCGTTAGAGATGTTTATATCGCTAGAGATAGAAGTATAAAAAGTTTTTATAAAGGTGTTTATCTCAATTTTCTAAGATCATTTATAAGTTGGGGTGTCATTAATGCTTCTTACGATATTCTTAAGAAAGTATTATTTTAAAAGAGCATATGAGTGTAAATAATTAACGTTGTAATTACTGAATTATTTGTCAGAATCATTGTTGAATTCTTGTAACATAAGTAATTTTAATGTATATAGCTTGTTTACAAGAGCCATTCACTAAGTCAACTGTAAAGTCAAATTCGATATAAATATAATTATATAATTAATTTTTTATATACGAAAGCAAGCAAAGTATAAAAATTTAATTTTATAATATATATTTTCTAACATTTTAAACATCTGAAAAATAATGAAAAGTTTTTTAATAAAATTGAATTATAGCACAATATAGTAATTATTTTAAAGTGAAGCTTAATAAAATACTAAGTAAATTACTTAGCAATTTAAATTAGACACATGGAATTGTAAGTTTAATCGATGCATCTTTTATTTTAATACAATGTAAATTCAAGACGATGTGTGTTACAAGGTAGCGCAACAAAATTAACAAGCACTGATGAAAAAGTAATAAAATTAATTTCATATTATTATCATAATTTTACATACAGTGATGATATACTTATATTAATTATATGAGTTAAAATGAGCCGTAACAAAGTAGCGAAATAAAATTTAGTTTCTCGGTATTGAAACTAAATTATGGTCGATAAATTGAAAATAAGTGTTGGTGAAATTTTCATTAAATGCAACATAAGCGTCATTAATTCTATGATTTAAATTAATGAATTGATTTGTGGCCGCATGATGATATGATCATTTGGTATGACAAAGCGTAGCTGCATTTTGTCCAATGGTGATCTAATGATTTTCTGAAAATGATGATAGAACTATATCCATTGTATATAAATCTGAGTTTACTCAGGTTTCATCATATAAAAGAAGTATGAAATTAATTTTCATATATCGTTATTTATGTCAAATTTCCATATCCTAGCTATTTTTTAATTATAGAGCGTAGAAAGTAAGGTTAAATAAAAATATCCAAATGAACAAATATCATATAAAACATTCATTATATTTAATTAGTTTATGTTAATTATACAATTCATTTTTTAATAAAAAAAAATTGTTTTTCTAATAAAATGAAGTTTAGTATTGTATCTTGTCTATGTTGTTTTGTTTATGCATTCATTCTAGGCATTAAATTATTTTAATAACAGTTGCGAATCGCACATAATTTCTAATTCAATGCAGTTTTATTATAATTAATTTATGAAAGTTGTATATTCGCCATTGAATTTATAAAAACGTGCTCTATTAATTCTTATTTGGAGATTGATTAAAAGTACTTACTTATATTCAATTATACTACAATTTAAATTAATTTTTCTATCTTTATTTCATTCACCCTCTATCCTTTCCTCTCCAGTTTTTTTAAAGTTTTTAACACAAATTCGCAAATGAAGTTAGTCATGGAATTGTTGTTTAAATTTATTTTACTCTACCTTCATTTAAACACTTTAATTGTTTATAAATTCTTTTATTTTTGTCGTTGTTTGTTTCAAATATCGTTTTACAAGCACGAATATTGTTAAATATTTCACAATTTTGCACAATTTCTTCATGACGTTAATTAAAAGAAAAAAAAAAAAAAAAAAAAAAAAAAAAAAAAAAATTAAATATGAATATTAATTTTCAAATTTTTTCGGCAAAATTATTAAGTTATAATTGCAATTTCATATTTTTTCAAAAATAGTAAGCATACATTTATCAAAAATATATATGTTTGTATATCGTTTATTTATTATTTTCCAAAATTAGAACGACGTATTGTAGCAATATAAATATTGAAATACCGACCGGGCGTGTAACAGATTTTTATTTTTCGTTTATTGCAATTAATTTGGTTGAAATTATTATTTATATAAAGCGATTCTATCTCACTAAGGAGGATCGAATAAAACAAATTAAAATACATTAGCGTTGAATTTCCAATTACGAAAACATCCGTTACGCGCGTCGATGGCTGGCTTGACGGGTCGGTGGGGGGGGGGAATATGTAAGGTGTAATATTTTCTATTATCTTTGCTCGTAAATTGATATATAAAATTCGTAATCACTCGGAAGTATGATATAGCCGTCTTCTGCTTAAGGATTTGTAAGTTTAACGAATAAAAAAAATCACCTACTCGTCATTACGTAAATGCTATTATTTACGAGCTTTTTTCGAGGAATACGTTAAGATTTCGAAATTATTTAGACATAGTCGCATATTTATCTTTTCCTACGCGATTTCAGCGACAATTCGTCGTTTCTTTCGTTTTTTTTTTTTACGCAGTAACGCAAGAATTCCTCCGAAACGCTACTAATAAACGACAATGAACATGCAAAGATAAAAAAAAAAAGAAAAAATTAAAAAAGAAAGAAAAAAAAAACTTTACCAACGAAACGTAAAAGAATATGAATAATGAAATAAATAATAAAAGAAAAATAGAAAGAAGCACGGAGAGTAGTGATTTATTGATCTCAAGGACGAATCTTGTAGATTGCGCGTTTAATTCCCCAAAAATATTGGCAACTAACGACGATGAGCAGTTAAACGCCGCTAAATAAACTCTATTTCCACTTTAATAAGCTCGTCCCAATATTTAATCATCGCATAAAAGTCTCAAGTTCGAGGAAGCGAAAGCATCCGCCCAAAGTGTAATATAAAGAAAAAATAAAATACGCTTAAATATTGGGAGGTTCGCCTCGATTGTTAAACGATATTCGGTCCCGGAAGGGGGTCGGAAGGTGCTGGTGGTTAACGATGAGGGGCGTGGGTGGGTGGGTGGGTAGGTAGGACTTAAGTTTTACATCAAGATCGGTCTCGCTCTTTCGTCCTTCCGACCCCCTTGGCGAACGGTCGCCGACGTGTGCACGCATCATCCAAATTCGCGCTCCGTCGGTCTACTAATGACAAGTTACGAAAATTCGGGATCAGCCGTCGGCGCTGCTGCTCTTGAAAATGTCAAGTGCCGTGCTTAAAGAGGATCGAGGAGGAGATTCGGGGCACCGCGCGCACGCGCATCACCTCCCTCGCCTCATACTACCGCGCACGTGCCAGAGGCGCAGAGGCGCGCACACGCAGACCGCAACGGCGATAGGAGAGTGCCGCGGACCAGTGCATTAGGCTGCTTGTGGAGCGGCGAGGGGATGGCGATGGGGGGGGGGGGGGGGGGGGGGGGGGGGGGGGGGGGGGGGGGCGGGAGTGCGCGCGCGCGCGCGCGCCGCGTGGTGGTGGTAAGTAAGCGAGTGAGTGGCGCGGAGTGCGGAGTGACGGTCGCGCAGTGCTGTCCGTCGTAATTCGTGGCTGATCGCACGGGGCAGTCCCCCGGGTAGTGCGAGGGCGGTCGGGCGATGAAGATTTGAGACGGGGGTAAGAGCGGCGTCCCGGCACTGGGGGTAGCAGCGGCCGCAAGGCGAAACCGGTCCGGTCAAGAGAATGATAAGATGTGCCGCGGCCCCCGCGTATCAGCGCCCTCGAGTTTAACCAGTGGCCGTAGCCACGACCACTATCATCACCGTCACCATCACCATCACCATCACCATCATCACCATCATCATCACCATCATCGTCACAATCACCATCACCACCACTGTCATCGTCGTTATCACTGCCATCACCACTACCACCACCACTACCACTACCACCTTAATCGGGCTCTCTCTTCGGGGCGAGCGCACGAGGTCCGCGGATGCAGTTAGAGGAGCGCTGTCATTATTCGTCGCTGCCTCGCGGCAGCTCGAGGGCCGCGATGAGGGCCAACTCGGCGACGATGTGTACGCCGATCGAGGAGCGGCTCGAGCAGAATCTCAAGGTAACGTCCGGCCCCCTCCGCTCCACTTGTCCCTCCGCGTTGCCCACTTGTTTATAGTAAGCAGCGGCACAGATCCGCTATCCGCGGCACTATGCCGAGGACCATGCCATGGTGTCTATCGCGACCGGGACCGGGCCAGACTGCTCCTCTCCGGATACCTGGTGGTAAGGGGCTTCAGCCGATCGAGTTAGCCAGCCAGTCAGTCAGTCAGTCAGTCAGTCAGTCAGTCAGTCAGTCAGTCAGTCAGTCAGTCAGCCAGCCAGCAATCGAAGACGAAGCCCTCGATCATTTTCTCCTCGGAGGACGTGGTGATGTTCAACTAGTGCACCCCATCCCCCGGGGAAATCGTCGCTTACAATACTGCTTATAATAACATCCTGAATGCCGCGGATAAGTCGTGGTAAATTGCCTTGCCGAGGACAATTTTACGGCTCTCGCGCGTCCGCCCTCGTTAAATTAAGCATACAAAATGAAAACGGAGCTGGAGCTGGGACACAGGGGCTTGCAATCTCGAGATCTCAGAATCTCTCGTTCTCTTAATTGAAAACGATGCTCGACGAATGAAGTTTTTTTTTTGCTTTTTTTTTGTTTTTTTTTTGTTTTTTTTTTTGTTATTTAAATCCAAGGGAATGCAATAATTCGACGGATATTCGAATCTATAATCGTCATCAAAGTTCGCCTCCAGCGACTCTACAGCGCACAACGACCTCGGGATGGATAAGGGCATTTATTGGCTGACGTCGTCGTCGTCGTCGTCGTCGTCGTCGTCGTCGTCGTCGTCGTTCAATTGAGGTTTATAAGTTGGCGTCGGTAGTCGCGAATCGCTTGTTCTCTCGCACTCCCTGTTACCGTCGCCTCCCTTCGGGATCGATAAAGTCAACTTAACCAGCGGCGGCGAAGCTGGGAAGCGCATATAGTCGACACTTGCCTCGTCTTGCCTCTCCATTTTTCTCCTCTCCTCACCTCGGCGCTTTTCTCCTCGTCGTTTCGTTCTCTCCTCTTCTTTCCACCTCTCTTCCTCGCCACCGCCTCTCCACTACATCTCTCATCTCTCCTCTCAACTGCCCCCTTCTCTGCCACCCGCTCGCTCCCTCTTCCTCACCGCGTCATTTTTTTTCTCGAGCAACCGCAGCTTCTTTTCTTTCCCCTTTGCGCGAAATATTCGTCTCTTCGCAGAGGGTCTCTGCCCTCGTGCCTCATATTCGAAGCGCCGTCAACCTGGCCTACCCATTACTTTACTTTATCCATGCGCAATAATCCTCTCTCATACGCATACACACACGCGCGCGCACGAGACCCTTTGAAGTAAATTCTAAAAAGTTATTTACCTTTCATTCTGTGTTTTCTCTCTTTCTCTCTCTCTCTCTCTCTCTCTCTCTCTCTCACTCACTGTCTCGTTAAATTGAGGAATATCGAAGGTTTTACTCTAATTCGAGCGATAATCGTCTCTTTAATTGATCCGTCCAATGCTGGGGGGAGAGTAGTGGTGGCTCGTGTCGCTGATATTGGCGCGCTCGAGCGCGTATTCTAATCCATGTTTGATGAGTTCTTTGAACCTTGGGGCTCCATGTCGTGCTTACGTGTATATGTACAAACGCGAACTTCGCGCCGAGACTTCTTATAGCGAAAAAATAAAGAAAAGTGCTTAGTCTCTTGTGCCCCGTTCTATTTTTAGTACACTTTGTAGGACGCGGCATTATACATTATTTTCTTTTTGTTTTGCAATCATTTATGTGCAATGGACTACCAAATAAATTCCTCGTGCTAAAGAACAACGGCGGGAAACTCGATACTTTCATGATTAATTAATTTATGCTCCATTTCCTATGGTAACGCGAAGGCCTCAATTCATTAAGGACTTTGCTCGCTTTGACACACTACGCATTCGCTTCAATTTACTTGTAATTGGCGAGTTTGTTAATTCGAGTCTCTGAAATGTTTTGAAAAATTTCCATTCACCGATAATTTCTTAATACGTTCGTTCGTACATTACAAAACATTAGGCTTCGAGTCGAATTTTATTAAAAGCGCATATTTATTTGCGTGATCCAGGCATATTATATTGACTTTTCGTCCTTAAAAAGTAATAAGAAAATTATAATTGTTGATTGCTTACTTACTTGATTATCCAGTTTGCAAAAATTATTGAACACAAGCTCTTGTGCATATGTGCATTTTAGTTTATCGATTGATCGATGAAAATGCCTAATACAATAAATAGAAAGAATTTCGTTACAATGTATCGACGATGGTATGGACGATTAATTTATTGCTTCTAAACCATCGTTTCTTTCTATCATTCTTTCTCTCTTCTTCAAAACGACGACGCTTATTAAATGCGACATGACGTAAAATGTAAAAATAATATATTTGTATTTTCCGCACACTATTTCAAAACATATCGACGCACAAATGTTATTCTTATCATTATAAGACTATTTATAGTTGTGCTTTCGTATAAAATTACAAATTTTCACTTGGCCGCATTGAGAGAGGCTGTAAAAAGTGTAAATATCTACGTTTAAAATAAAATTATTTAAAATCGAAAAACATTAAAATCATTGAAATCTTCGATTGCAATTCTCAGTCTAATTTTACGATAAACATATACGTTTCGTAAATGCAAATATAAACGATTAAATCGAGCTTAGAATAGTTTTTTTGATTATTATTTTTGTTTTTTTTTGGTTTTTTGTTTTTTGTTTTTGTTTTTTTCTTTATTTTTTAATTTTGTTTTGTTTTGTTTTGTTTGTTTTTATTAATATTGCAATACATTAAATACTTATAAGATTTCGGTATATTTTATGATTTTTCTTTTAGGAAGAATAAATACCGCGACCCATGAATTTTACTTACACTCTCAAGTTCAATGAAATTTAGCCTAAATATATTTTTACCCCATTGATAATATTATTAATGATGATTTGCGATGAAATTATTGTAAAGGTGAGAACTGGTTTGGTGGCGGTAAGCGATGGCAAAATCAAACCCATACCCACGAGACTCCATCTTACGATGGAAGTTCTTAAGCTTCAGAGGGAAGATTTGGAGGTAATGTCATCGATATAAATTTAAATTGCGCGCTACTTTTATTATACACAAATATAAACAGCTTAACAAATGCAATATTATGATTTTCAACAGATGGCAAATCATAACAAGATACCTGCGGACACTAAGGAAAGGATGGTACAAATTACAAGACAAAAGATTGGAGGCTTGGGTCTGAGTATTAAGGGTGGAGCAGAACATAAATTACCCGTACTCATATCTAGAATTTATAAAGGTCAGGCTGCGGACCAGTGTGGCCAACTCTTTGTTGGAGATGCTATTATTAAAGGCAAGTTTCAAGAGTCCACAAGAGTTTCAAGAATTCAACAATTTATAGATCCTTTGTTTGTAAACTAATAATGTCACATTCAATCTCAGCGATTAATCATTGAAAGCAATCGACATTTTTAGTATTAAAGTGATAGGGCGTACTTTTTATAAGCAATAGTCGAATAAGTTTTAGATCTCTTTTGTTTCTGTCACTCGGACCATATGTCTGTCGCTTCCTTTTCACTCTATTGTATCAATTGAGAAATCGAGCTGTCGAGGACTCTTGCTCCTATATTTTCATTGTATTAATAGAAGAATATTTTGCAGTCAATGGGGAGTATATTACCGCATGTAATCACGATGATGCCGTCAATATTCTTCGAAATGCCGGTGATATTGTCGTTTTAACTGTCAAGCACTATCGAGCAGCAAAACCATTTTTACAAAAAACAGGTTAGAATGTTCTATAACTTTCTGTTTTGTTTGAATGGACGTATTTCTATGAATAGTCTAACAATTGCTTATTATTATCAATTGTTAAAATTGATTCCTTGAAATTATATTATCGTATGATTTTTTTTTTTTTTTTTTTTTTTTTTTTTTTTTTTGTTCTAAATTTGTTCTAAATTCATAATATTCGATGAACGTCTGTATATATATGTAAATTGATACCATTTTTGAAGACTTGAGCTATTCCCATTAATAATGTCAATAATTGCATGGGCTATGGATAATTGTAGAGAAAGAAGAAAATTTAAATCATACAAGTAACGGCGCACTGGAAGATGGCTGGATTTCACCTAGCAAATTGGTACCGAGTAGTCCAAAAGGAGGTGGGGGGCATAGCAGACAAGGCTCAAATGCTTCGAGCAGCTCGATTAAACAAAAGAAATGGATCGATATAGTTACCGGTATCCGCCTATATGAAATTAAATATTACAATTTAAGTGAAATCTTCTTTCTAATTGAAATTCTAATCTGTTTAGTGCCCTTGATGATGGCATACGTTACGAGATACATCTTTGGCACTGATAAGTTAAGGCGCAATGGGTTCGAAGTGAGAGGCTTGAATGGAGCTCGAACCGGGGTAATACACTGCGATGATACTGCTATCCTTAGTCAGTGGCTTAAATATATCGCTGATAATATTACTAGCTTGACTTACCTACAGGTGAATATTAGAAATCTCGCTAGACTTTATTATATCTCTTGATGAATATAATTTGCCTTGCAGCTGAAGTTGTATAATCGAAATTTCGGAATTGGCGAACGGATTGAGTATATGGGATGGGTAAACGAAGCTGTTAGCAACAGTAATCAGCTGTGGCAAAGTTATAGACCAAGGTTCTTAGCTCTCAAGGGTCCGGATTTGTTACTTTTTGAAACACCACCCGTAAGTGCATGATAATACAATTGTTGCATGAAACTACAATTTAACGCTTCATTTTTTAAATATTTAGTAAAAAAAAGTCTTCTATCGTGTTTTTAGGCAGCATGATATTTGCCCGAAACATGTTACGTACGCTAAAGTCAATTAGATGCAATAATCAACAGCAATGGAATCCAATTTTAAATTACTCGCCATAACTAATATTACCCTTTCAACTGTTTATTATCGATATACTTAAAAATAATGTAATTTTATTATGACAAATTTTGTTTAATTTTAATTGAAATATTACTTTTCAGAATATTATGAATTTTACATTAGATCCGTTTAATTGTAAACGAAAGAGTATCGTTAAATTAATGTGCGAGTCCTTCGAACTACATAAACTTCAAAATGAAATAAATATAAACAATTGTACGTTAAATGTAATCAACTAACTTTGCATTATAATTAAATATTAAATCGAAGCATTATGGAATTTTATGTCTCAACGATTTTTCTTCATTGCAATAGCTTAAAGTTCAATTAAGCGAGCACTTGGAGCAGATGAATCATCGGTTGAATTTTACATAAATCTGTACATTTTCTCATTTACTTACACAGTTGATAAATTTTTATTCTTTTAAAAACAAAATTATTTATTTCTTTAGATAAAATACATTGTTAATAGTATTTGGATCTTTCTTTTTTTGAATTTACGTTGATAGGTTCGGTGGTATTATTATATTCAATCTTGATTCAAGATAAATGTGGATAAAACAGTTATAAACTCTCGAAATTCATTAAACTACATACGCAACATAAAAATTTACAACCAATGCTGTTTATTATTGTGCCATCATTGCAAATTAATTAAACGAGATCATTGATCATTGATAAATAGCGGCATTCCGACGAAGCATGTACATTGAATATTCCTATGACAGTGCAATATAGGCGACTGGTCTCATTGCGCGCTCACCTTCAAAGTCTATCAAACGCTGTTTCGCGTGATGCGCGAGTCGGAGAACGTGGACGAGAGACAGCATTGCTTCTTGGTCCAGAGTCCGGGGAAGCCGCCCCGGTATCTAAGCGTGGAGACGAGACAGGAATTATTGAGAATCGAGGCTGCCTGGCACACCGCAGTCTGCTCCGCAGTTACACATCTCAAGGTGGGCCGCGTGCTCGTATATTTTACACACTCGAGCTTTCACCTCAACTCATTAGCATTAAGAGTTACGAGAGAGTTCTGTGGAAATTTTCTTGGCAAGTGGCCAGGGTCACGAAAGTGTCTGTAAATAAGACGTACGTTTAGCATGAGATATTGGATATTAGGATTAAACGATAGTTTCTATGCTTCAAAAACGTCGTTTAATGAGCTTTCTCTCACCTACGTTAATTGCTATTATTTAATACGGTTAATTTGTTTTGTAAAGATATTTTTGAATAATTCGCTTATGATGATGCTTCTACATGGCAAATTTGCCTTTTTTTTTTAAGCTTACTTTTTCAACGTATAATAACCGAAAGTTGGGAATGCAAAAAGTAAAGCATGAAAAATTATATTAAATGAAATTAATTTTATTCCATGAAATGATTATAAATAAAAATTAATTTAATTGTCTTTTAACATTACAATCTAATACTATAAAATTCGAGCATATGAGCATGTATTTAAAACTCGCTCTAATATTAATATTTCTCCGTAAAATATATAGTATTTTTTTGTAGTGTCGATGTCTCATTTAGATTAAAAATTATTTTTTAATTATATTCAAAACTTTGCTACTTAAATATAAATTTGAATAATACACGTGCATATTTTTCTAATTGCAACGTTCCGAAATTAAAAACTTTTAATTTAAAAAATTTTTAAACCTTGATACGAACGTCAGCAAAATTGTTCTTAAATTTACGACATGAATTTGGTTCATTGGTATTACAAAAAAAGGGGGGGGGGAGGGGAAAGAAAAAAAAGAGATGATTAATAATAATTAAAAAAAGGAAAAATAGAATTTAACCGCTACAAAGTATTGCATATAAAATTAATGAAGTAGCAGAGAAGCCAAAGAGAATATTCTTTTAATCAAGCTATGCGAGCACTTCACCATTTACAATTGTTAATAAATGATAGTTTTGGATTAAAATGAAATAGAATTTTTTGTTTATTAAAAAATTTAATTTCTCTTACACGAGGTAAGACAATTATTCTAATTTTCATTTTTTGAAAAACTTGTTTTTATATATTTATATTTAAAATGACATACAGTTAGTTCTATAAAACAGTATAAAATGCTTGCAATTTAAGGCAATTAAATAATAATTTTCTAGTGTTTTTTTTTTTTTTTTCAATTCTTATATTATTCAATGATTAATCATTTCAATATCTTTCAATCATCTTAATGTCATGAGGCTTAAAAGTTAGCCACGTTAAATTTGATTATTCGTATATTTAAAAAATTCTGTTTGTATAATCGTAAAAATAATGATGTTATTCCATTAAGTTTATTGTTTATTTTCAAGCTGTGACAGAAGCTTTCTACTAAAAATTGGGTCAATCGATCTAGATTTACTTTACAGTAAAAGTTTTGCGAAATGTATGCGCCAAAAATAATAGTAATAATAATAAGTGATTTTTAGAAATTTTGATATTAAACTTTTTTCATGTGTGTCGCAGAGCAAAACGTTTCCTATAACGTTAAATGGAAGACCAGCTGGTTTAACATTAGATTGGTCTCAAGGATTCACTCTGACATTTGAAGGAACGACAGATCCCGTTTGGAGGTACAAATTCCATCAACTTCGCGGTTCTAGTGATGACGGGAAGAGCAAATTAAAATTGCATTTTCAAGAACATGATAGTATTGCTATTGAAACTAAGGTACACTTACTTATGTTTTCATCTATATTTTTATAAATTGCAATACTATATGAAATTCTAGAATAATTCATGAATTTGCTAATTTAATTAACGGTATTTTCTATCCTTTTTTTCGTTTTTTTTTTTTGTTTTTTTGTTTTGTTTTTGTTTTTAACGACGTTATTTATGTTTAATTTCAATGGAATGTTATATAAATGAAAATATTTTCCGAGCAGAGTCAGTTATTTTAATGAATAATTTCATCAATTAAGCAATAAATTTTACGTATAAATTTTGGATGTATTCTGAAATAATTGAAATACTTAAAAACTAGTCTTATTGAATTTTTGTATTATGTTTGTGTGTGCGAGCATTAAATTACACGAGTGTGAACGTAAAGTTGCATACGTATTTTAAATTGTAAGCGTTAGAGGAGTAATTATTAATTTTCAACAAAGTAACCTTGACAATGATAAAAAATTAATTATTTAAAATTGTTAATTTTTGGTAAATTGTGGAATTTTGTCGCGACATTTTTCTACTCTAAATATTTACAAGTTTAAAATGAAAATTTGATAAAAAACCAAAGGATGCTTACGATTTAAGACTAATTTTGTTTGTCTAGCGTTAACGTCATGTAAAAAGGCAAAAAGTATAATTACAATAAGTCTAAATAAACGTCGAATTATTTTTAAATTCTTGATTGCAGGAATTGGAATGCTCTCAACTACAGAACTTATTATTCTGTATTTACGCATTTATCACAGCAAGAGTTGCGGCGGTGGATCCGACATTTTTGAGATCGACGACTCCGTAAGATACAAGACGTAAATTCGAATTACGCACGACTGAGAAAGCTATATAGATCACCATTGAAACCAATCGATCATTTCTTTAATTTTTCCTTCGTTACACTAAACAAATAATTATACTCAGTGAGAGTGTTTTTGTGCGAGGCGTATAACGCAATGACTTATAAACTAAACTAAAATTAACAAATACTAGTCAAGAATCTCACGTAGGCTTTCACGCGCACGTACTATTGACTCGACCAAATAAGCCCTCCAGATTTTAATATTACAATAATATCAGCATGAGATATGTTATATATATATATATTTTTTATGGTTTGTATAGTTTGAAGCGAATTGAAAGAATTTAAAAAAATGTTTTTGTTTTTGTTTTTGTTTTGTTTTTCACGACGACAATCTGGAGGAATTTAATACGCTTTATTGCTTTGCACAAAAGGTTGTTTTTTCAGATACTGCATTATTCCATACCGAGTTAAAATTATTAATTTATTTGTATAATGTTCGTGATTTTCATTAATTGCAGCTTCGAGCATTGTGCATTTCACATGAAACATTACATGGTGCCTTGATAACAAATAACCAAAATGATCAAGACTCGTTGTCACGAAGGTACAACAAAATTGCATAAATCATCTCAAAATATTTGTTAATTAAGAGGTGTAATGATAATGCAGATAATGCACATGATTTATATTGATAATTATATTGATTTTAAAATATTCTATTATTTGTTCATCTATTTATGGTAAAATACCAGTATTATTCTATTGTCAATAAAACGTGGCATTGTCACATCTGTAGCTCAATAGCAATAATGATTAAGTAGATAATGAAAAGCATAATAGCCATGGTGGTTTCATAAAAATGAAAGAATGTTAATTCCGAGTAATTTCGAGCCAGGGTCAATTAGCTTTTTACATGTAGTCCATTAAAATAATAATTAAGTATCTTGTATCTCTTTTGTTTTTTTGTTTTTGTTTTTTTGTTTTTATTTTTGTTTTGTTTCTTTGAGAAATAGTTGATTTATTAAGTTAGAAAGAGACAGACAAAGTAAGAATGAACTACGACAAGTTTTAGTCTTTGAAAATGTAGTAATATTGGAAGTACCCTGACCAAGTTGTGGTTAGAAATGTAAAAATGATATCGCTCATTTATTTGAAGTCTTTCAACAATTTGAAATACCAATTTTGTAAGCATATTTATTTACAGAATTTAGGTAAAGTTTAGAATTTTGTAAATAAAATTACGCATATATTTACCTTAGAACATTAATTAATTTATTATATATATATATATATATATATATATATATGAGAAATTCCATTTGTGTTTTTCAATTGTCAAAAATTGTAGGTAGAAACGCAATAATTTTACGCATTATTTGAATATATTTATATTCTTTGTTATTTATGTATAATGAATTTACTTCGTTGATGTAAATTTTTTAAGTATTTTTGATGTTCTCTTTTGGATCCTTCGATTACTCGTAGAAAGTGCCTATATAAACACTATATCTTATTAACTGTTGTAGGTTGAATAAATGATAATATTTTTTTTATTTTATAATTTTAATATGAATTATTAATTACATTAATAAAGAATGAAGTGTTTTTGCATTATTAAAACTAATATATACAATTTTTTATTTTTTATTACTTTGAATTACATTTATCTAGTCCATAACTTTTTAGATACCACCATGGTTCAAGCATACTCGAATTTCAAAAATGGAAGTTCAAGTAAAACTTCCTCGAATGAAATCGTAAAATTAAGGAAATTAAAGTTAAAACACATAAATTTGAATGATGTAGGTATATAAGAGAGCGTGTATATAAATAAATCAGGGCTGGATTAAATGCATTTAAAATAAATAAGTAGAAAATGAAAAATGGTATTAAACTGCAATTTCTTATATTATGCATAGCTTTTGTATAATAATATTTTTGTAACTTATTTTAATTTCCATTATGTGATGTTTAATATGCATTTGAAATAATTTCCATTTACTTCTACAATTATTATATTTTTGGTTATGTTTATCATGAATTTTAATACATCTAACATGAAAAAGGGAATGAAATATGTAAGCTATATTATTGCTTTATGAAAGGAGCTTTAAATAATAATTCTTAATCTAGATAATAATATCAAGTATTTAAATCTAAATCAAGAAATGTAATGGCAAAAGTATGATATCTTTATTATAAGAAAAATTTTATAGTTTTGCATGTATGCGCATACGTCTGCACCTACGCCCACATACTCTTATATTTCACGCACACACGCACACTCCATGCACACACTTGCGTATACGTACTAGAAACGTATGAAAATTCTAAAATAAGATTAATCCATAATATAGCTATGAATTTTTATACAATATTAATGAATGTGCATTTTATCGTAAGGGACATTTTTACTCAGAATTAAATTTGTCAAAATAATTAGATAGTCAAAATAAGTAGATAGTTTTTACTGAATCTGAAAATAGATTGTAAGTGATTAAAATTAGATCACCATAATCACAATGAATATTAGAATTATTTTATTTTGAATTACATTTAATTTATATATTTAATTTTCTAATAAAATTGTAGACAATTTATAAATGCACTTAAAGAACTGTCATTTGAATTGTTATAAATAGAAAGAATTAGTTATAAATATAAAGTGCCATTTGGTTTAGGAGCTTTAACATACTGTTTGAAAACCATTTTCTATTTTCTATGGTGTCAATTAAGAATTTCTTTATCCAGCTTTGATTCTTTTAAAAAGCAGTTATATAAACATAAGATATATAGAGGAGCGATTGAATTTAATTACAGAAAATTTTGACATCATTTCGACTGCACTTTTCAAGTAAGGCACTAAATTACATTCGCGAAAGCCTATGAAGATTTATCTAAGTAAAGAATAATAATATTCATATACGTATAAACACATGTTACGCATATCAAGTGACTATTGCACTATAAATGCACTTGGAGAATGAATTTTCGATTTGACAAAATCGTTTGATCATTATCTATTTTCTTAACTAAGATGTTTAATCTTTTTTGAAATAATACGTATACTAGTAGAGAATTAATCGATTATTACATGCTTCAAATATATATATATATATATATATATATATATATATATATATATATTAGTGTGTGTGTGTATTTGTGTGCATGTATATATATATATATTTTAAAAATAATAAACAAATCTTTAAATAGTTATCAGATATTTTCGAATATATTATTATGTACTTTAGGTATATTGAAATGAAATAAAATTTATGGGATATTTTTATCATTTCCATTGTAAACATATGGAAATTACTTATATAATTGAGAACTACAAGGAAACTTGAATACCTGAATTAGCGTCGTACAACTAATTTCATCGAAATGCCAATTTTGTCGAAGTAAGCGAAAATATTCCCCGAGTGTGTAAATTATCATTACTACACGCCCTGTAATTAAATTTAGATCCTTATTAATAGACTGCACAATTGTACTGTATAACATAGATATTATAAGATATTATACAAAATTTAAAGAAAGAAAACGTAAGGTAGCAGTGAGTGAAGCGGATAGAAAGTATATAAATTATATGAGTTATAGAACTGTTATCTAAGTGCAAGAAATGCTTGGCTGGCATGCACGAGTTAAAGGAGGCGTTGATTTATTGTAACTTTATAAAAAGTCCTTCGGGCAGAGCTTATTAAAAAAAAAAAAGGAAAAAAAAAACTGCTTTTGTGATGTGATAGTTTATTTTATACGGCTCGAAAGAGTGATTGAAATAAATAACAATAATTCTATACTTAGCTCTCATCGTTTTGACTATATTATGAACGTAAACGTATAATCAAAGCTTCATGCGCAATTCTATATACTTTTAATATAAAAAAAAAAAAAAAAAAAAAAAAAAAAAAAAAAAAATAAAATAAAATAAATAAATAAAAAAACAATCTTCCCGAAGGACGCGTGCGCTCATTCTGTATACCTTTTTCCTCTTCTATGTCACAGATACCCAATTACACAATACAATAACTCTAATGCATTAAGCAAAACTTCTTCTGTACCACGCATTGCGCAAGACGTCATATCATTGTACTGTAAAGCCTGCGTATATTACTATGCGCATGGAGTATCTGAAACTAACTACCGACGTCTTACGTTTCAAAATATAGTTTATCTGTTATAATGTCTATCTTCCCAATTGACAATATGTTTCAAAATATATTATTGTTAGACGTTCATGAGATGTTTTTTCTTCTTCCACATGTATTTAAAACGCTCCTTGTAAAAAAAAAAAAAAAAAAAAATTTCGTTCAAAATAGTTGTTTGACTTAACAATATGTATTATTGAAATTCAACAATTTTATTTAATTGCGTGGTATTAACCTTAATTTATTTTAAATAAAAAAAATAATATAAAATAAAAAATCACTGAAATCGTAAGTTTTTGCCAATTACGCTCGATTATAAGTAAATAGAAAATTATTATAAGTAAATAGAAAATTTCAATTGTATAGAAAATAATAATGTAGTAATGTAGTATCACAATATTTTATTATAATTTTATGAAATATGGTAAATATACAAACTCTTTTTTTTCTCTTCATTTTCTTTTCTTTCGATGACTAATTATGATAAAGGGATGAGATATATAAATATTTTATTTTTCTCTTTCATTTACTTAATTTTATGCAAGAATTAAATAACAAAATATCGATGGTTTCATTTAAAAAAATTACTCACTTCTTATTAAAAACCTTATAATTTCAACGAATTAACGCTAATTAACGCTAAAATATCTTTTCGTTTGTCAAATATATTTATGATAGAATATGTTTATTTAAATTTGCATATAAAAAAGAAATTGAATTAAATTTTTTTATAATATATATATTAATATTTTAATTTTATACATGCGTAACATTAGATTTTTTTTCATCATAAATTACGTGAAATTTTTGCTGCATACACTTAACTTTTACCTTAATGATATATTTTTAATATAAGTATATTCTTATTGAATAATGTTCGTCGATATTAAACTATTAACTGCAATATTTACTTTATAAGTACATGATTAATTACAATATAATATACAATATTGAATACTATGAGACATGTTATTTCTGATAAATAAAATTATAAGAATAAACAGAAGTACAATGAGAAAACGTATTCGTTACTTTCCATAATAATATAATATTTGATTCGCGTAGCATCGTGCAGTTTTTAACTGAACACGGAATCGCTTGAAAGTT